TGAGAGTTTGCCCTTTTTTTGTGGGCTTTTTTTTTTTAATGTAATACAATGTAGAAGTGTGTGGAATATCCTGTTCTTTTTTTCAGACAAAATCCAATAACTTTTCACATAAAGATTGGTTGTATTGCAAGATGCTTTACTTAGTATTCATCCTGTTTATATACAAGCTATGCCTTCAACTAGACAAAATTGAGAAAAATAGAATCTGAGGGATAGAAAACCAAACCCCATTATGGGAGGGTTTTGTAAATAGTTTTTGTTTTGTTGTCCAAGCAAAAATTAGTCCATCCTTGGTTTTGTTTTTTTTCCCACTGGAAACAAAGATTCTTTTTGGTTTTTCATTTGAAATTGAGATGTTTTATGCTGATCCCTCTTTCTTCTTTTAAAAGAATAAGTAATCCTTGGAGCCTGAAGGAAGTTGTTAATTTGCAGATGAGCCTTAAACTTTGCAAAGAGGTTAATTTTTCTGGGTTTTTTTAGGGTTCATTTCTCTATTTTAGATAAAGCTTAATCTTGGCAGAAATAGTTGCAATCACCTATTCTATAYTGGGATTTTAGTAAAATTGAACTAGGGGCCACAATAGCCTGAACAAGCCAGAAGGGGACACTTCTGCCAGCTGTTCCATTTCTGAAATTTTGGAGTCATTTACCATTTCTTATGCTTTGAAATGTAAAACATTYCCCAAAAATAGGGAATAAGGGAATAAATTCCCTTAGTAATGGAAGCGGGTATCACCACAGATGAAGAGTTTTCTTGATCAAATACAGTAGTGCCTAAATATTTGTGGCCTCTGTGCTGACAGGAGCAGCTACAGTGATCCCACTCCTTAACCACAATCACTCACTGGTAAAGCATTTTAAATTTGACTTTTGTGTAGATCCGATGCCCGCCTCCACAGAGACGACATTGACATTTGTTTCAGCAAAACGCTGAATTCCTGCAAAGTCCCCCAAATCCGCTACGCGAGCGTCGAGCGCCTCTTGGAGCGGCTCACGGACCTGCGGTTCCTGAGCATCGACTTCCTGAACACCTTCCTGCACACCTACCGCATCTTCACCACCGCCGCCGTGGTCCTGGAGAAGCTCTCYGACATCTACAGGAGACCCTTCACGTCCATTCCTGTCAGGTGAGCTCGGGATTTTCCCCCATTCTGTCGCACATTTCTGAAAGATGACCACGGCGTCATTCATTGTTCATTTTGTGGGGTGTTCTCCCTGTTATTTTTTACTTATAAATAATCTAAGAAGAAGGTTCTTAGTTTGTAAACTGGAAATCAGTTTTTGGGAAAATCTGTCTGAGCTGTCAGCCCAAGCTTTGAGAATTCAGTGTCACACGGATTTTGCAGTGCCATGCAGATTTGCATAAAATTTAATCACTTTTAGTTAAATCTATTTAATGTTCGCTATCATGTTGCMCTTTTTTTGTGTTTCCACTCTCAGGTCCTTGGAGTTGTTCTTCGCCACCAGTCAGAACAACAGAGGAGAGTACCTGGCTGACGGGAAGTCACCACATCTCTGCCGCAAATTTTCTTCTCCTCCTCCCCTGTCACTCTCCAGGACCTCCTCTCCTGCCAGGACCCGAAAACTGTCGCTGACCTCCCCGCTGAACTCCAGGATCGGCGCCCTGGACCTGTCTGCTTCGTCTGTGGCCAGCAGTCCTACCTCAAACTACAGCCCCGCCACATCACCCCCACCCACGGGCAGCAAGGCGCCGCTGGACCTGAGCCGGGGGCTGTCATCCCCYGAGCAGAGCCCGGGCTCAGCCGAGGACAGCCTGGAGAACCCWCGCCTGGACCTGTGCAACAAGCTGAGGAGGAGCATCCGCAGAGGTATTGCACAGCACTGAGCCCAAACGTGCTGCTTGCTGCTGCTTCTCGGGGCGAGGCTGCGCTGTGYTCTCTGTTCCCACACAATTCTTGCTTCTTACCAGCAATAGCAGCATGGCAAAGTCATAGAATCACAGAATGTTTTGGGTAAAAAACTACCTTAAAAGTCATCTAGTTCCAACCCATACCACCTGGTCTGTTTTCACTTCAGGGCAGTGTTAAGGAGAAAAGCAGGGGAGAATATTTGATGCCAGTTGTGTTTCCTGGGGTGAGAAATTTTTGAGTTGTGCCATTGMCTAGAGGAAGTGAAATATTAATTTATAAAGAAAGACCTGACAGCTTTAACATGTTTGCATAGAGGGCTTTTTTTTTCAGGAAGATTCCATCACTAATCCAAATAAATAATGTATGTGATGTGCTCGGTACATTRGTGACATTCATACCAGGTGGTGTGAATGTCACCTGGTTATCCATCCAGAAGGTACAAGTCTAAAATAGATTAATTGCTCCTCTGCAAATGCCTGTTTCCTCCATGGATTCTGTAAGGCACCTTGGAATAGGTTTTACTTCCAGAGGGCTGAAGTTGGTTGATACAAACCTTAGTGTGGGCATCTAGGCTGGGATCATTGTATTTATAGATGGCAAAGCAAGGAAGTAACTCCACTCTCAGAGAAAACTGAAGTGGGCATTATTTCTCCTTTGGGGACAGAGGAATGGTTTTCTGAGTTGGAATAGAAGTTTGCAGTAATTTTTTTCTATTGTTGTTACACTAAGCAGAGAAYGATGCAATTTAAAAATGTTTTCTTATTCCTAAAATTAATATTGCAAAATGATTGTACATGGCCTGGGTTACAGTCTGAGGAATTTTATCTATAAATCTGAGCAAAATGTGGATCAATTTTAGTTGCTAGTACTGCAACAACAAAAATTAATAAGTGGAAAAAAGAAAAGGACTACCAAACATAAACTAAGTAAAATATGATTGAAAAGTTATGTCTGCTCCCTAATGATGAGTTGACAATGCCCTGCTAATAAATTAGAGGTTTCATTATGCAGAGGGATGGTTTTTACAGATTATAGCCTATTGTTTAACAAAAAAATCCCTCAATCGCAAGGTGTTAGCTACAACGAATCACAGCTGAAGCTCTTCGGTACCAATGCACGCAGCATGAGGAACAAACAAGAGAAGCTTGAATTGTTGGCTCAGTTTCGGTGATTTGATGCCATTGGCATAAATAAAACCYTACTGRGGTGAGTCCTGTGATTGAAGTGCCCTCCTGAAGAGTTACAGACTCTTTAGGAAGAATAAACAGGGCAGATAAGGCAGGGGAGGCACACTATGTAACAGAAGGGTTAGAATGTAGGGAAGTCACAGCTGCCAGTGGCACGGTGGAGAGCCTCTGGGTAAGAATCAAGGAACAAACGATGCAGATGTTTCTGTGGGAGCTCACTATAGAACTCCCAGCCCGCATGATAAAGCCAGACAGTTATTCTTTGAGGAACTGAGAGATGCTTCCAAGTCAACTGCCCTTGTCCTTCTGGCAYACTCCAGCCTGTCAGAAATCAACTGGGAGCATCACACAGCTGATACAATGCAGGCCACATTACTGGAATACCTACATGATAACTTCATAGGATAAGTACTAGGACAGTTGACTGGGAAAGATGCCCTCCTTGATGTTTTGCTTGTTAACAGAGAGGGTTGCATGAATCACATGATTGGTGGTCATCTTCGCTACAAGAGCCACAAAGTGATTGAGTTTAAAATCCTTGTTGCTAGAAGGAAAAGTTTGTTGCTAGAACGATTTCCCCCTTGGACATCAGGAAAGCAGACTTCAGCGTGCTCAGGGAAACAGTGAGCAAGATCCCTGGGAAAATTCTTTCTAAGGTGTTGGGGACCATTAGTGCTGGTCACTGTTTAGGCATCCCCTCCTGAGGTCACAGGAAGAGGCAATTCCAAAATATTGAAAGTCAAGCAGACGAGACAGAAAGCTGGCTTGGTTGAGAGGGATCTTGTTTGGGAGATAAAGCAGAAAAGGAATGTGTATGCCCAGCAGAAGTTTGGAATGACATGGGAGGAGCACAAGAGATGCTGCTCTGCAGGGAGAAAATTTTTGCAGCTAAAGCTTAACTGGAGTTGAAACTTCCCAGAATTTGTGAGGGACAATAAAAAGATTTTGTTTTGCTTTTTTTGGCAAAAAGTAGTGCAGAAATTACATTGTCCCATTCCAGAATGAGGACAGTCACCTCACAAAGAAGGAGTTTGACAAGACAGGGATATTTAATGTTTTTCTTACCTATTTTCAACATGACTAAGGAGGTTCCAGAGCCCAGAGCCGAATGACCATGGCTTCAGAATGATAAACTCCCAGTTGATTGTGAAGTTGTAGGGATCTGCTGCACCAGCTGGATCCCTGTAAATCTGTGGGGCCTTATGGGATTCATCAGAGAATACACAAAGAGCTGGCTGATGTCATTATGAGGCTTCTCTCAATATTTCAAAAGTCTTGGGAATATGGAGAGGTCCCAGTTGAGTGGAAGCTGGTTAACATTGCCCCTGTTTTCAAAAAGCAAAAGAAGGATGACCCTGGAAACTACAGGCCCATCAGTCTCATTTCAGTGTCTGGTAATTTTTATGGAGAAGATTATTCTGGGAGGTATTACAAACACCTGAAGGACAACACAGGCATCATGTTATTAAAAAATGGAAAAAAGATCCTTAAAACTCTTCATTCAGTGCTGGGTGCATGAGGGAACTTCTGCTGTGAGATATGGTGTGTGCTGAGCACAGAAGAGGCTCCTATTCATGGCCTGTATTTTACATTGACATTCACAGTTTTTCCCAGAACAAACATATGATAATCGTTCCCCAAAGTCAAAGTCATCAACACATGTTGCTTTCCTTTTCACATGAATTTGTCTATGACTGGGGGCTCTCCAGTGGTGTCTGGTGATTGTCAGCCCTGAAGTTGCACTTGACCACTGCATGAATTCAGTGTTACTTTTCCAAACCTGGAGCTGAGTTGGCACAACCAATGTAATTGATTATTTTAGAGATGAAAACATATTCTCCTGCTCCTCTTTTTGGTTGATGTTTAACATGATCCCCWTTATGCAGTTCCACAGGCCAGTGATTTTACAAAATAATCATTGTCTTTTCCCTACAGCTGAGCAAACAGGTATTCATCTGGCAACAATAGGTCAGTACTGCTTCATGAGGGGCAAGTCCTGCTTGTCACACCTGAGTTCCTTCTCTGACAGGGTAACCCACCTGTTTGACCCAGGAAAGGCACTAATGTGATCTTTTGGGACTTTGGCAGAGCTTGTGGTACAGTTTCTCCCAGGATTCTTGTGGACAAACTGTCCAGCCCACAGGTGGATAAAAACATAGTGAGCAACTGGCTCACGAGTTGGGCATAAAGGGTYGTGGTGGCTGGGCTGACACTGCTGGGGTTCCAGGGTTCCATCCTCAGCCCCGTGCTCCTCAGCATCTTCAGCAGCAGCCTGGACACAGGATGTAAGGAATATCGAGTAAGTTTGCTGATGACACTAACTGGGAAGAGCTCTTGACTTCCTCGTAGGCAGAGAGAGCTCAGCAAATGWGGGATGGGAAATCAGCAGCTGTGTGGGGTTTAACAAGGGATTCTGCACCTGGGCTGGGCTGTGTGTATGGACTGGGGAACAAGGGGATAGAGAAGGGACCTGTGGGTCCTGTGTCCAGTTGGATCTGGGTCAGCAGTACCCTGGAGCCAGGAAGGACATCCCTGTGCTAGGGGCAGCAGTCCCAGCATTACCAGATGGAGCAGCCTCACCTTAAGTCCTGGGGAAGGTTTTGGGCACCATAATATCAGAAAGAGCTGAAGCTCTTAGACAGTGTGCAAAAGAGGGAGGTGGGGATGGTGAAAGRTCAGGAGGGGCCACTTGGCTGGTTCAGCTGGAGCAGAGGACACTGAGGGCAGGGGCAGCTCCAATCTCTGCTTCCTGGGACAGGGACATAGTCCTGGACAGGGACAGGGAACGGCTGGAGCTGGGCCAGGGCAGGCTCAGGCTGGAGAGCAGGAAAGGTTCTCCTGTCCCCAGAGGGTGCTGGCACTGCCCAGGCTCCCCAGGGAATGGTCCCAGCCCCGAGGCTGCCAGAGCTGCAGGAGCATTTGGACAATGATCTCAGGGATGCACAGGAGGGGATTGTTGGGGTGCCTGTGGGTTGGACTGAAGAGCTTGATGGGTTGCTTCCAACTCAGCATATTCTGTGCTTCTGTGATCTTTCCTTGTGCTTTATGCTTTCAAAAAATACTGGTTAGCTGTTGTGCATAATCATGTATCCAGTGTGCTGGATGTTTTTGCATTAATTGCATAACAGAACTATTTATATGTATAAAATAGAGTTTTTTCTATGCAAAGTTACGCAAATTCTTCTTGTGCAGTACTGTATCCACATTCAAATTAATATGATGATAGCACAGCATGTCCCAGAATACAGACCATGCAGTAAAAGTAATCATAGATGGGTAACTGCAGTCTTAGGTGTAACATTTTTTTTCCTTATTATAAGTGAAATGGTAAAGTTGTTCTGCCCTTGTGTAAGCACCGGGCATTGTTGGAGAGTTATTCAGGTTTTTCATGGTGGTCTGTCAGAGCTCAAGTGTTACCTGGGCAGCACAAGGAGCATTTGGAAAAAATGGACAAAAGCCTATCTGAATGCTAAATTGCTGCCCGTGCAGTGTTTCCCATCCCTTCGGGGTTCTCCTGCTGAACAGCTTGCTCAGTCTGGAGTAATTTTCAGGYAGAGAGCTGTGTCCTGCAGGAAAAAGTCCTTTTGTCACCCAACTGCATACAGTATGATGAGGAAGAAGAGTAAATTTAAAAAGAAATCT